GCCATAGAGTCGGCACAGACTCATAGTGACCTTATGCAAAGCAGAACGAAACAATGGCCGATCCTGGGCTAACCTCATTACTGTTGCCACACTTGAGTCCATCGATGCTGCCACTTGGCCAATCCATCTCGTTGGGGGTCTTCCTCTTTTTCTCTGACCCTCCATCTTACCAAAGAAGAGTCCTAGAAGGTGGAAAAAACAAAACTAAACCAAATAACCTCAAGTCAATTCCACCTCATAGCAATCCTATATAGGGAGCAGACAACCTAATCTTGCTCCCGAGCACTGGTGGGTTTGAAGCACTAACTTTGGGGTTCGCAACTCAGTGCCTATAATCTACAGCACCACCAGGGATTGTTTATGAGATATCTATGAGAGGATTGACTGTAGAATATTTTTCTATGTTTATGACGGTGGTAAAGTCCTGGTGTGGCGCTGTGGGTTAATGTGCTTGACTGCAAAGTTGGTTTGAACTGCAAGGTTGGTGGTTCAAGCTCACCAGCTGCTCCTTGGAAACCCTATACAGGGTCGTTAATGGGTCGGAACCCACTCAATGGCACTTAACAAAAACCATACGGTGGTGGTGTTTGTATGCCTTGGAGTCGGTTCTGACTCAGCAACCCTATATAGGGTTTCCAAGGCTGTAAATCTTTACAGGAACAGAAAACCTCATTTTTATTCCATGGAGTGGCTGTTAAATTCAAACTGCTAACCCTGTGGTTAGCAGCCCAATTTGTAATCCACTATGCTACCTGGGCTCCTATATGTGTAAATGTCCTGGTGTGGCACTGTAGGATAAGCACTGGACTGCAAAGTCGGTAGTTCACACTTACCAACTGTTCCTCAGAAACCCTGTGTTGTTGTTGTTAAGTGCCATCAAGTCATTTTCGATTCATACCGACCCTGTATAGACTTTCCAAGGAGTGGCTGATGAATTTGAACTGCCAACTTTGTGGTTCAAACCAACCTTGGGGTCCATAGATTTATCCCACAGCGCCACACCAGGACTCCATTGGAAACTCTATACATTAAGTTGGAACAGACTCAATAGCAAAAACATATACATATATGTTTTTTGCAACTTTTTTTAGTATGTTGTTGTTGTTAAGTGCCTTCGTATTAGAAACACTAGAAAAAGTGCTTGCAAAAAGTTAGTATTCACAATCTACTTATTGTTGTTGTTATGTGCGGTGGAGTCGGTTTGGACTCATAGTGACCCTTTACAGGGTTTCCAAGGCTGTAAATCTTTACTGGAGAAGAAAGCCTCAATTTCTCCTGAAGAACAGCTGGTACTTTCGAACTGCTGACCCTGAGGTTCGTAGCCTGATTCATAACCACTATGCTACCAGAGCTCCTTAATCTACTTTTAGTGACCCTGTAAACCGTTTCCAAGGAGAGGCTGGTGAGTTTGAACCACTGACCTTGAGGTTGCATGCTTATCTTGGGTTGCCACACCAGGACTGCTCCTTACACACACACACACACACACACACACACACACACACACACATTTTTAAGTGCTGCCATGCTGGTTCGGACTCCTAGTGACTGCATAGGGTAGAGAAGCGACTGGTGATTTTGAACCACTGACCTTGTGGTTAGCAGTTCAGTGCTTATTCTACAGTGCCACACCAGGACTCCGAGTGTATACTTACTTAATTTTGTATAGAGTGCCTTTACATAAATTTAAAACTCAGACTTAGCAATCTTTTTCTTTATGCTTTTTTGGTTAAGGATCATGCGTCAGTCAATTCCTATATTACAAATTATTCTCCAATATTTTTATAATATTGAGGGTTGCTTTTTTTTTT